AAGAGGTAGAAGAAGAAGGAACAACGATAGCGAAAATTGGACGAGGGAAGAGGGAAGTGTATGAGTGCATGTACGTGTGTGTGTTCGAGTTGCTTGTTTACGGGCGAATGAAAATTACACGACGGTACCAGCCACCCCTTGGTTCGACGCGTCCATTCATTAACACTTCATATCCCGTTGCGACGTGGCTGGTAACGAGCCTGTCATAATTATCCGCGCTAACTTTATTACTGCGGATACACGCTCTCCTTGCCCGGGCTATGATACTCGTGCGTCATAGGGCAAATCGAGCGAGCACCCCCCCTCGTTTCCACGAGGAAACACGTTCTGATGAATTTAGAACGCACACGCTCTACTTATAAATAATAGGGAAAGAAAACAAAAAAAAGAGAAATAATAAGAGGTTAAGATGAAACGATGACGAAGGCGTTCTTTTATTTTGGGGAAAAGGGATGATGATGAAAAAGTGAGATAACCTGTTACTTTTAATTTCAGGAAGGAAGTGATAATAATTTTGAAGAACGTATGGGAAGATAATTACTTTGCGCGGGGTGATTAATTACGAGGCGAGTTAAGTCTCCTTTTAACCTCTCCTTTCGAGATTAATCAATGACAATGTGAAAAAGAAAATTTCATAAAAATTTTCGCCCCTCGAACGAGAACGAAAAATAAAAAGAAGGAATCCGAGATATAATTTACAAGGTTGGGAAATTCTGAATAAAAAGCAGGCGAATCGATCAAAAAAAGAGGCTATCTTCGAAAAGAGTGATTTGAGGATTGGATGGAAAAATTTGGATCAATAATTGAAATCGCCCTCCATTCCCCCTCTCTCTAATTACATTTACTCGATATTTAGATACGATCAAAGAGCGAGTATGGTTCTCTTCCTGACGATATATCTTCTGTAATTAGAAAATGTTGCCCCGTTTCTTTGTAAAACTCGAAATTTTTAAGTTCGAGCGGAATGAAATGGAATTAAATTCTTTCGTTTCTCGAGAAAAGAAGAGAAATTTCACGTTTAAAAGAAAAAAGTAATCTGGAAATCATTAACGAATAATATCACGCGGTTTCCATTCGTTTCTGAATTAAAATTATGATTAAACCTCTTCTTTCAACAGAGGTGCTATTTCTTCGCGAAAGAATTCATAGAAAAGCATACACACACACACATACTGGCGCGAGCCATTACGAGATTCCATTTCCCTGGCTAGCTCGTTACTTCGACCACTTCGATGGAAAGAAAAAAGTAACGCGGGGATTCGCGTGCATTCGGCAAAAATACACGCTCGATTGCGCTCGCATTCGTGGAGAGAGAGAGAGAGAGAGAGAGAGAGAGGGGGGGGCAGAGCCACGGTTATAGCGGCAATCGAGCAACTCTCATACCGAATGATCGATGACTCCATTGTGCGCCCTTTCCCATGTCCCTTGCCACGATTCCGTGCGAGCGGCATACAAAAAGCCGGCCGCCATTTCGAAAATGGCCGGAATTATGGAAAATTCGGGCCTGGAAGATCGATCGACCCCCGTGATTTCATCCCTTGCAATACGATATTTCTCTCTCTCTTTCTCTCTCTCTCTCTCTCTCTCTTTCCTGTAAATCCCGACGAAACATTCGACAACGAACCTCTTTCGTCGCTCTCTCTCTTCTTGGCGACAGTTTTGGCGGAGGAGAATATTTCGTAAAAAAAAAAAAAAAAAGAAAAGAAAAGAAAAGAAAAGGGAAACATCTGGACGGTGTTGAAAAGGAGGAAGGAGAAAGGATGGAGAAAGATGTTACGAGAAGAGGGGGAGAGGGGGGGGAGGGAAATTGCGAATCTGAAATGTGGAAAGTGGTTCGAGGTTACATTCAGGTTTGACGAGTCGAAAGAGAGAATTTTATTCGACCGATTCTGATCAAGTTACGAAATAGTTGCGTAGAATTAAGTAACCGTTTAAGTTAGAGAATTACACTTTAAATTCTTTCAGCTAAAATCCGCAGCTTGTTACAATTTTTCAATATAGAATTCCATTACGATATACACTTGCGAGATCATAGATATCCAATTAACAGATGCTTGGAATTTTTCAAATTCTTTCTTAAAATTTGTTACAATATAGAATTCCATTACGATCATCCATTTGCAAAATAATAAATATCTAATTAAATGCTTGGAAATTTTTAAATTCTTTCAGTCCGCGAGTTTCAATATAGAATTCTATTACGATTATACTTATATATATATATATATAAATTTCCAGTCGATAAAATAGGCCTTCAATTAGAATCACGAGGTAATCCGCGAACGAGGACAGGCGCAGGAATTTCATTCGCGTGAAATAGAAAAGGAAATAACTCGGTTGCGAAAGTAGTTGGCTGGAGGATCGGGGTGGAGCAGGAAGCGGGCGCGAGTTCCTCGAGGGAGCCACCTTCCCGTCCAAATTCCGCCCATCGAGGAACGAGGCTTTATCTGTTCGTTGCTCGAGCAAAATAGAGACGATCGAGCGAATAATAGGGCCCGATATCTTTGAATGAAGACAAACCTCTTTGGCGGAATGGCAACCATCCCTCTTGTCCGGATGGACAGCTGTCCGTCCATCGGCAACCACCCGCCGGATTGTTGTGACTGTGGATGTTTGAGCGACAAGAGGATCGACTTTTGAACGACTATAAACGTGACGCTTGAAATGAAACGTCAGGTTCAACTATTCTTCGAGAGAAGAATACACCTTGCCTCGATATCTGTAATGCCGTCGAACGGCATTAGAAACTCGTCCAAATGAAAAGAGAAAATGTAGTAATAAATCTATAAACTTTGTTAAATAATTAATTCGAAATTACATGACACTTCAAAATAGAATTTAACAAGCAAAAAGAGATATATTATATCAAGAATATATGCAATTTCAGGATTAAATTGTTACAATTTGCTCGTTAATGCGAATAACAAAATATATGAATGTTTCAATCGTAAGACGTAATCGCAATCGTAAATCGCGCTTTCTTTCTTCCTTCGTGGCAAAATAATTCGGACTTGGGAGTAGCGAGTTCGAGAACGAGGAGGAGGGGAGGGGAAGGATGTTGTTGGTCGCGGATAAAAGGCGACCAAGACCAAGTTTAGCATGACAATGCAGGTGCCGCCTCATCCCACGTCAAAACGCAGCGTGGCGCCACGGCCAAGATACGTACCAGACCGATCGACTGGTTTGTAATTGTTTAAGAGGATTAGCCGGGGGTAAAGTTTACGCGTGTCCAAAGAGTGGAGCCGCTGATATTTATCCTCGACATTAGACCCCCTGTCTGATCCCGGAAAATTCCATTAAAAGTGGCTGGAAATTGGCGTGAATCATCGAGCCCCCACCTTCCGCTTGAAATATCCTAACCTCTCTGGATGCATATTCGAACAACGCTTATTTATTCTATGTGTATGTATTATTTATACTATGCGTGTGTATAAAATCAAAGTGAGGAGGAAAAAAGATCAAAGCTTACCAATATCTCTCTTCCAGATAGATTCTGAATTGAAAGAAGACGATGAATTTTACGAGCGAAAATCAAACGATCCGTCCATCTATTAACGAATATCGACGTGTGCAACCTCGTACGACGGATGTACGGAGAGTGCGTTCAAGTGAAAAAGAAAGAGGCCGACAGAGAGAGAATCAGAACTATGAGAAGTTCGATCAAGATGAAGAAGATTTCCTGATCTGATCCGCGCGGGACAGGATGTCGCGGGTGGCCGCAGGTGGCGCCCCCGATATAAGCTTCTCTGACTGAACCGCTGATACAGGGCCAGGCCTCTCTCTCTCTCTCTCTCTCTTCTAAAACTTTTACGGCGGAATGTGTCATCCTGTCACTGAACCCACATGGGGTACGAGACGTCCCATGGGCCCGTCACAAGTTCCCCCATCCATTCCTCCAGATCTTCTCCTTCTCCTTTTCCTCGAGATAAACGTTACTGTTACGCAATACGAATGATACATTTTTTCGCGATCTTTATTTTTTTCGTAACTTTTAATTTCTTTTGTAAAATTCAAAAATTCTCTACTTTTTCTAACTCGTATATATATACATACAATGAAATATTCGAACGAAAATTAATTTTTTGCATTAATTTCGATGCGCGAACGTAGAAAATTAAGAATAATACGTTACAAAGAAATTTCCCGTTTTTTTTTCGAGAATCTATTCTGGAACTACCTGGTCAGGACACAGGTTCCCGGACACGGTCGACTTTCACGGCGTGGTTTCTATCCGTGGTCCGTAATTAACCCATCAGACGTCAGGCGTTAATGAAAGTGCAGGAGAGACGGCACCGGTGTGTCCCGTGTCCCGGGCAAGGACAGGTGGGAGACACGCGTGTGTACACAGAAGAAGAGAGCGAGCCGGTGTGAAAAACGAAAAACGGTGGAGAAGGGAGAAGAGAAACTCTCTCGCTCTCTCTCTTCCTCTTTTTCTCGTGGACGGGGAAAAAGAGGGAAGGGGAAGAAGGATGCTGGAATACAGCGTTTCGAAGGGAATACAGGATAGGAGGCGAGGGCTGGGGCTATCCTGGAAGGTGGGCACCACGAGATATAATACCCGACTACCTCTACCAGCCGCGATAAGTGTCAACTGCAGCGTGCCAGATAAAAAGAACGTAGGAAAAATAAAATTTAGCTCGGTGATCCATCATGAGGCTACGGACGCCGGACGCGCAGGCTCCATTCCCATTGGCTGGCTCCGCCCAAACATGGTCACGTGGCCCCACTCGAGGATACGCCCACTTTCCAGAAGGCAGCACCCCTATCTATATCTCAGCAGCCTACGTATGCCCGAGAATCGAGCGAGGAAGAGAGAGATAGAGATGGAGAAGGAGAATGGTGTCCGTGGCGAGAAAGAGAGAGAAGGAGAGAGAGAAAGAGAGAGATCCACGATAAACTGGACGCACAGCCAGACCCCCTCAGGCTCACCTGCGTGCTGCCTTCGACCGTGCCGCCTTTCCGCCAGTCCACTCCACCTAGCCAGTCCACTTCAGCGACCCTCGTCGATCGGATCGACGACGCGTCCGCTTCTCCACCGTTTATCGCGACTCGAGTATCGACGAACGAGTTCCTCGCGCATCTATACGCGGTAATAATATGGATCTGCCTCGGGATCTGTAACGCTCTTTCGCGAGAGAAAAAAAAGAGTAAACGGCGGATTGATTTTCGACGAGTGGAGGAACTTCGACCCGAATAAATAAGAACAAGTGCGCGAGAAGAAGCTGTGTGATATCTGTGTGAATCGAAAGTTGAAAGGAAGGAAGAAGGGATCGATCATCGCAATTATTAAATATCGAATTAATAACGAACGGAGTGTAGTAGCAAGGGGACGAGCGATAGAATAGGATAGCGCGTCCCGTCCATCGCGCGATGTGAGCTAATTGGCCGATTGAATCCTCTTCTCTCTCTCTCTCTCTCCCTCTCTTCCCCCGCGCTTCCCTCCTCGCGAAGAGCGCGCGCGTCAAGGACACTGGGCCGGTGGTGGTCCGCGGGCCAGCAGGTGGCGGCTACCGCACAATTGATGCATTCGCCTCGACGCGACGAGGATGATGATGATGGACATGGGCATGTACGGAACTTACGGCAAGCCTGACTCGTATCCCAACTACGTTTGCACGGGTCAAGGGAATCATCATCACCATCATCATCATCACCATCACCACCAAACCACCGCCGGGGGACACGTGTCCGTCTCGGCCTCGCCCGACCTGGCCCCGACCCACTACTTCCCCCAATCGGCGGTCTCCCCTTACTCCTCCTCCTCCTCGGAGAGTTTCCTCGCCGCGGAATCCGCCACGTCCTCCGGCACCCCGCCCCAGCAAACCTTCTACTCCCCGTCGGCCGTGTTGCACGAGGACGGATCAACAACGGCGATCATCTCGTCCGAGAACGGGCTGAGTTACACGAATTTGGACTACACGGCCACCGCCCCCTCCTCCTCCTCCTCGACCCCCTCGTACGGCGCTGGAAATGGATCGGGGCACAATCCTGGATCGCTCGATCCTCACCACCAAGGCTACCACCACCACCACCACCACCACCACCTCCAGCAAACGGGGTACAGGGATCACCACCACCACCACCATCATCATCATCACGACCCCCAACAATCGGCGGGGAACGGTGTTCAGGGCGCCTCGATGATGACCCACCCCGCGAGGACGGCCGAGCACGAGAACAACCACCACCACCACCACCAGTTGCACCACCACCACCACCAGTCATCTTCTAGTCATCACCATCACCATCACAACGAGGCCAACGAGTACCAACAGCTTCCGGCCTCCAATTATATTCACCAGATACCAACGGCGTCCGAGGATTCGTTGCACTATCACTCGCAGATACGTCAGAACGAATATAACGTGGGGGGGCATTACAAGGAGGAGAGTCAATCGGATCCCTCGTGTTATCACGCGCTCCAGCAAGCGTCAGCGGGCCAGCATCCGCAGCATCTTCAGCACGGCCATCATCATCATCAGCAGCAACAGCAGCAGCATCCGCACCATCCTCAATCGCAGCAACAGCAGCAGCAGCAACAGCAACCGCACGTACCTACGTACAAGTGGATGCAAGTGAAGAGAAACGTGCCCAAGCCAGTCGGTACGTACACGTTTTTTGACTCGATTCGAAGACAGGATTCGTTCGTTTCTCTATGGTTTCTACTCGAGTTCTTCTCGGATGAGTGTTTCCATCGAAACGTGTCTCTCCCTCTTTCCCTTGATTTTTATCTGCTGAGAAATTAATGATCCAGGCTTGGATGGTGCAACTTCTTTTACGACTACTGGCAACTCGTAACTCGATGCTCTCCACGGCTTTATTTATATATATGTATATGTATATATCAGGCTGATGAATAATTTCTCGAAATAAAATTTACTTCGATTCGAATTATTTCGATTTTAATAAAAGTGAATAAGAATAATTGTAACGAGTTTACTTACGAATCTATTTTCTATTATTCTGAAAAATCCTAGTCGATAAATCGAATAGGAATGGAAATCGCAGAGGGAGAAAGATGCAGGGATAATTTTTCTTCGAAATAAAAATTACTTCGATTCGAATTATTTCGATCCCGATAAAAGTGAATAAGAATAATTTTAACGAGTTTATTTACGAATTTATTTTCTATTATTCCAAAAAATACGTCGATAAATGGAATAGGGATGGAAATCGCAGAGGAAGAGGGATGCAGGAATAAATCTTCTTCGAAATAAAAATTACTTTCGATTTTAATAAAAGTGAATAAGAATAATTGTAACGACTTATAGCACGTCGATAAATCGAATAGGAATAAAAATGGCGGAGGGACAGGGATAAATTCTTCCTCGAAATAAAGATTACTTCGATTTTAATAAAAGTGAATAAGAATAATTGTAACGAGTTATAGTACGATAAATATAGTCGATAAATTGAATAGGAATAAAAATGGTGGAGGGACAGGGATAAATTCTTCCTCGAAATAAAGATTACTTCGATTCGAATTATTTCGATTTTAATAAAAGTGTATAAGAATAATTGTAACGAGTTTACTTACGAATCTATTTTCTATTATTCTGAAAAATCCTAGTCGATAAATCGAATAGGAATGGAAATCGCAGAGGGAGAAAGATGCAGGGATAATTTTTCTTCGAAATAAAAATTACTTCGATTCGAATTATTTCGATCCCGATAAAAGTGAATAAGAATAATTTTAACGAGTTTATTTACGAATTTATTTTCTATTATTCCAAAAAATACGTCGATAAATGGAATAGGGATGGAAATCGCAGAGGAAGAGGGATGCAGGAATAAATCTTCCTCGAAATAAAAATTACTTTCGATTTTAATAAAAGTGAATAAGAATAATTGTAACGAGTTATAGCACGTTGATAAATCGAATAGGAATAAAAATGGCGGAAGGACAGGGATAAATTCTTCCTCGAAATAAAGATTACTTTCGATTTTAATAAAAGTGAATAAGAATAATTGTAACGAGTTATAGTACAATAAATATAATCGATAAATCGAATAGGAATAAAAATGGCGGAGAGATAGGAATAAATTCTTCCTCGAAATAAAAATTACTTCGATTCGAATTATTTCGAATCTCGATCCCAATAAAAGTGAATAAGAATAATTGTAACGAGTTATAGCACGTCGATAAATTGAGTAGAAATAAAAATGGCGGAAGGACACGAATAAATTCTTCCTCGAAATAAAGATTACTATTTTAATAAAAGTGAATAAAAATAATTGTAACGAGTTTACTTACGAATCTATTTTCTATTATTCCGAAAAATACGTCGATAAATGGAATAGGAATGGAAATCGCGGAGGAACAGGGATGCTACTCGAGGAGAGCACGTGCAAGATTAATGACGTGTGTCATTAATGAACCGGAATTACGTGTCACGTTTTATTAATCTCGTTACGCGTTGGTTTCAAAGGCAGTAGGTCGTCGGCCAATGAGTAACGCCAACATTTTTACTTGTCCGTCAATCTTCATTTCGTCGCTCACCACCCAGGCGAAAATCTCGCTTGCCAAAGTGTGGCGGACTCCAGAGGAATCGACGGCGACGGCGGCGGCGGCGGCGGCCATTCCAGATCCACCGACTTGCGTAAAGTGTCGTCAACGAGTGGCAATTGAGCCATGTCGCGACACTCGAAACAAGTTTAAACAAATTGTCTCGTTCTGAGAATTAGAGAGATGTTTATCCAGAAAGGAATTATTTGTTACTTATATTCGTAATAAACGAATAATTATCGCGATTATTTTAAAAAGAAATTCAGAAATAGTTGCTTACAATGACGTTTACTTTTCTTCTCTCTCTTTCGTTTTTTTTTTTTTTTCGTCGGAAAATGACGCACGTGTTGCGTCGCCGATATTATTCTTTTTCTTGGAGCAGGTTTAAAGTTAAAATTTACAATGTTTGGCGAAAATTACAAAGATTGACGATTCTGTAAATTGATCACAATATTATTCCTTTGAGCGCGTTTAAAGTTAAAATTTTCAATGTTTGGCGAAAAATATATAATAATATATAATATATAAAAATATACAAAGATTAACGATTCTATTATTCTTTGCTTTTTTGGAGTTGGAAGAATTGAAACAATTACAATGTTACTCCTTTTCTTCGAGCTATTTAAAATTTCCAATATTTGGCGAAAAATACAAAAATTGACAATTCTGTTGTTTTCTGTTTTTTTGGAGTTGGAAGAATTGAAACAATTACAATGTTACTCCTTTTCTTCGAGCTATTTAAAATTTCCAATATTTGGCGAAAAATACAAAAATTCTGTTGTTTTCTGCTTTTTTGGAGTTGGAAGAATTGAAACGATCGCGATATTATTCCTTTTCTTGGAGCTGTTTAAAATTTCCAATGTTTGGCGAAAAATACAAAGATTGGCGATTCTGTTGCTTTGGATTGAAACAATCGTTGCAGCTTTTCTATTTAAAAAATCCTTAAAATTGAGATTAGGTCTGTAACGTTTATTTCAACTTTCGATATTAATTGTTATCAAGAAACGATAAGGGAAAATAATCGCTATGCTTTAAAACACCAATCGTTCTGGACGATGATTGGCAATTTCATCTCTCTCTCTCTCTCTCTCTCTCGATTATAATTTCAAAAAAAAGAGAAACGATGTGTTCGAGAACGTTCAAACATTCGAGAAAAATAGGCGCGATAAAAATAGGATTCTTCTTCACCTACGAATCAAAATTCGATAAGAGGGATTTATTTATCGGATATTTATATCCCGGGTTGAGGTTGTTTAGCCGCTGTTTACGTTTATGCGACAATCGTAAACGCGCCCGATAAGATTATGCACACAGCCAGATAGATACGAGCCATTTTACAAGAATATCGTAGACCGGTAACCATAAATCAACACAGTTGCGAACCTCTCTCCTCGCCTATCTCTCCAACAAATCACTCTCGATTATTCCACTTACGTATATCTTTGATATTTTCATTCGTGGCGCCTACTAGTCACTCTTTCAAGATTTTTGTATATATATATACATATATATATATATTTTATGTGAATATTTCAAATAATATCAAAATAATAATTTCTGTTTCGCGTTATAAATTTCGTGATCACGATGTAAATCATTTTTTTTTTTAGTAGTAGAAAAAATCAACGTCCGCTAAATCGAGGAGAGAGAATATATTTTTATAATATGTTCACAGATTTTTCGAAATTTTACAAATTTGGAAGCTTGATATTAATATATAAATATTGGAGATAGAAGAGAAAAAAATATTCTTCTCTTGGAAAACACGCTGATATCGCGCGGATTGAATTCGACGATGGCCGCGCGAGATATCGAAAAGCCTTCCCCCCCCCTTCCCCACCCTAAGNGCGGATTGAATTCGACGATGGCCGCGCGAGATATCGAAAAACCCTCCCCACCCTAAGATAAGATCCGCGCTTAAGAACGAAAATTCTTGCACTGTGCAGTTATCTGATTATTTCGAGGGAGACTACAACGCCGATAACGGATATCTCGTCTCCCTGAGGCTTTAATTAAAAGCCGATATATTCTCATGACGCGTACGTAGTAAATAATCTATCTGGTCGTTGTGAAAATTAAAAATGTGAAGAGAAAAAAAAAGTAGAATAAAAACCAAGTCCGATTGAAAATTAATCGAAACGAGTTGGAGCGAGAGGAGGAGGAGGAGGAGGAGGAGGACGAAAGATTAAAAAAGAATAAGGCAAGCAAATAAGAGATCAGATTAGAAATACTGACTGGATAAATACACGATAATGTAGTACCCGTTACGCAAAAATTGAATGTGACGGAGGAACAATTTATCGTTTCGAAAGTGGCGTGATCGTTGAACGGCCGACGATTTGCATAAATGTGTCTAATTAGTATTAAACGTGGGAGGGAAAAGCGTATAAAAGTCGAGTTGTCAAATGTGGTAATAACTCGTTCATACGGATCGATCGAATTTCAGGCTGAATTTGAAGTAAAAAATTTTTCTCGCTCGACCGGTAAAAGAATTCTCCGCGTTACCCTGATATTCATATATCGCGTTTCGAATTTGTCGAACAGGAATACGATTCGCCCGAATACCTTTGGAAATTGATTCAGTTGATAAGGTAGAATCGAGTCGAGGAGACGATCGAATGGGTAATAGAATTTTCCGATTCTTCTGAAATTTCAAAAAATTCTTCCACGCGAAAATAAATATCGTGCAACAAGGAAAGGGGTGTTGAGAGAATGATAAAACACAAAGAAGGGAGAATTTGAGGTTGAGTAAGTTTGGAAAATTGTTGGAAAAAATTGAAATCAACATGATCGTAATGTGAAATGCGATAAGAGGATGCCGGTTCAAGCAAGGGCTCCCCCACTCGGGGAGCTAATTTGCTTAACAGCGAGGCAGGGGTTGGAGGGAATCGGCGGCTAAGCCTGGTATCGTTCAAATGGAGCTTGTCAGGATTACCAGCGTTTCCCTTAATAGCTCATTATAATCGAATTAATAACACCAGCCGAGAAGTCACCGAGGGTGACGCTTATTACACCGAGACATGCAAACGAAACTCTCTCGTCGAGTTCCTTATCCACCATTTCCACGCTGGAATCGAATCTAACGGATCTCTCTTTCTCTTTCTCTCTCTCGATTGGTGATTTTAGATTTTTAGTGAATTTTTATTTTCGATGTTGCTTATATATTTCAACAATATGTTATTTATTCGTGTGAAAATAAAATTTAACAGAATATTTCATCGATGATTGCAGATGACTTTATATTTGCTATCATTTTCTTTTATAAGTTATTGGTTTGATAAGATTTTTGTGATTAAAAATTAGAATTGATTCTTCTACTTGAGTAAAAATAGTGAAGTTTATTTTCTCTTTGTAGATTCAAAAGTTCTGAAATTAGAAATGAATTAAATTTTGAATATAATTAACTAGAATTCTTATTTGAATATACCTTCTTACATTTGCAATGATATATGCAATTAATGAAATGAAAATAGAATTTAACAATCTTCCATTGATGGATGATTTTTTCTTATAAGTTATTGGTTTGACAAGATTTTTGTGATTAAAAATTAGAATTGATTCTTCTACTTGAGTAAAAATAGTGAAGTTTATTTTCTCTTTGTAGATTCAAAAGCTCTGAAATTAGAAATGAATTAAATTTTGAATATAATTAACTAGAATTCTTATTTGAATATACCCTCTTACATTTGCAATGATATATGCAATTAGTGAAATGAAAATAGAATTTAACAATCTTCCATTGATGGATGATTTTTTCTTATAAGTTATTGGTTTGATAGAAGATTTTTGTGATTAAAAATTAGAATTGATTCTTCTACTTGAGTAAAAATAGTGAAGTTTATTTTCTCTTTGCAGATTTAAAAGCTCTGAAATTAGAAATGAATTAAATTTTGAATATAATTAACTAGAATTCTTATTTGAATATATCCTCTTACACTTGGAATGATATATGCAATTATTCGTGTGATTTTATATTTTCTATCATTTTCTTTTTTAAATTATTGATTAGACAAAATTTTTGTGATTGAAAATTAGAATTGATTCTTCTATTTAAAGTTTATTTTCTCTTTGTTAAGGCGTGTAGACTCTGAAATTAGAAATGAATTAAATTTTGAATATAATTAATTAAAATTCTTACCTCTCACAGTAAAAAATTTCTTCTGGTCAATAACTTAAACAAAATTTTCTTTCAATCATGAAAAAATGTTTTCCTTATCAACTCCTTTGAAAATGATTAAAATGAAATGAAATTTTAATCAATAGAATTCTTCAATCATGAGCAAATATTCTCCTTTCTCTTAAGCTTCTTTATTAATTTAAATTCCAGAACCAACTTTGAAAGTAACTGAAATAAAATGAAATGAAATGAAGTGAAATGAAATTTTGAATAAATATAATTAGAATTTCTTATCTCCCTTTCAAAATTCTCTTTCAAACCACGAAAAACCGAATAATATCCAATCTCTTTTCAAGACGAATCCATGGAATCGTCTCTTTTAACGCAAGAGGGTTCGCTCTTCTTTTTCCTTCTCCATCCGTGTACACCAATCCCGTACACCGATCACGAGAGAGAGAGAGAGAGAGAGAGAGAGAAGAAATCGAATGGTATAATGATAAATCGGGAAGGGGCTGACAGCGTGCGCCTCGTGTGACGCCCCCCTCCCCTCCTTCCCCTCCTTCATTCACTCGCTCGCCCGCTTCTCCACCACGTCCTCCACGGGAAGAAGGGTGGTCCACGCGTCCCCTGTCCACAGGCCTCCTGCACCCCCCGCGTGGAACGCATTATGGAGGCAACGAGGGAAAAAATACTACTATTGTGCGTCCCCTGGCCAACCAAAAAACTTCTCCACGGCCAAAATCTGCCCGAAAACTCTCCCCCCTCCCCTCTTCTCCTCCTCCTGCTCCTGCTCCACTCCGCTCCGCCCATCTCGTTACTTCGAGAACACCCTTCTCCCTTTCCGTTATCCTGCGCAGCTTTCCTTTTTTCGTCGACATCGTCCTTCGATTATTTATTTCGAAATCGACTAATTTTTCGTTTTCAAATCGAGTTAAATTTAATCTTATTAAAAAATATACAAAATTATGTTATATTATATTATAATATAACAAAATTATATTATATTATAATATATATTATATTATATTATATTATATTATATTATATTTCCTAAGTTAGGTTAGGTTTTATATATATATATATATGTATAATCTAACCTAACCTAACTTAGGAAATATAATTTTGTATATTTTTTAATAACCTAACCTAACTTAGGAAATATAATTATAATATAATATGATATAACCTAATCTAAATATATATATAACCTAACCTAACCTAACTTAAGAAATATAATTTTGTATATTTTTTAATATTTTATTATATATAAATTATATTTCCTAAGTTAGGTTAGGTTAAGTTAAAAATACCTTTCGATTAAATCTCGAGTAAAAAACTTATCGCGAAAGATAGGTTAGAAATAATTATTGAACAATTCCTATCGAGGACTATAATATTAAATATATATATATATATATATATATATATTTTTCGTTTCAATCGTCTTCTACGATTTCCTTTTTTTGAGAGAGAGAGAGAGAGAAAATCAATGGATTTATTTCGAAGATTGGCGATCAAATGGAGTTTTCCATTTTGATCTTATGGAGGCAATGAGGAATCGTAGATATTTTCAGTGATTTTCCAAATTTTAATTAACTTTTTACGGAAAATCAAAAATCTATCGAAGGAACGTAAATCATAGATTTTTATACGACTTGGAAAGAGAATTAAAGAGAGGAACGAGATCCAGGCCAATATTTAGACTCCGTATGATTGGCCAGAAAAATCGGTATAAATCAGGTTTCACACGGAAGCGAAGGAAAAATCAATCGCTGACCTGTGCTGCTCGACCGGTGTTTCTCGCCATTTCAGTTTTACGGCACACATTTCTCGCGACACTCAGGAGCGGAAGGCTCGATTGCAACGCTTGCTTTCGTTCCTCCGCTTGCGATATCCACGCGTACGCCGCGCGCTTTCTTCCAGCAACTCCTGTTTTACGACGTCGCGTCACGTATCGAGGCAACCTTCGAATCGACTCCGTCGATCGCCACGCTGCTTTCCACTCGGCTCCTTCTCGGAACCGATTATGCCGGTTGTTGCGCTCCGCTTTTCGTCACGTCGTCCATTCGACGATACTCTCTCTCCCTCTTTCTCTCTCTTCTTGAAGAATTTTCGAATATTCGAGCGTCGTTGATCGATCAGAAAGATAGTCTGAAACAATATTAAAAACAAAGGAATTAGAATCAAATTTCTGATCTGATATAATTGGTGGAAACACGAGGCTCTCGTGAACTTGCCTGATAACGATTCTACATTTATATTACCTACCAACACTGGATTAAAAATAAGAGAACGAAGAAGAAAATTGGAAGAAGAAGAAGAAATTTTGTGAAAAAGGGAAAAAAGAAAAAGCAAACGGAAATGTACAAACGATAAGGAAAATATATATATATATATATATATAACTGGATAAGATGCAACAAAATTGAAAAGAGAAGATGAACGCGGATATCTGACGAGTTTCTCTACTTTAAAAAAAAAAAAAACGAATCAAACCTGGCGGATAAAGTGGACGAGAACAGGAAGATGAGGAGAGGAAAAACACTCAAAAGCTACGATGACGAAGAAAATTTCAATTCTCCGAACGAGAATTATCCTCTCCCTATTATAAATTTCATCAATTCCTCGAGCGGAGAAAAAAAAAAAAAAAACCTTTGGAAAATCCTCGATTCGCAAGCGGAAGGAAAAACAAGGAACAGAACAGAAGGAATAGAGCAGCAAGTAGTTGCGCCGTACGGTCGAGCGTAGGCCGTAGCCGGCCAAGCAAGCAAGCAGGCAAGCAAGCAAGCAAGCAAGCAAGCAAGCAAGCAGTCAGCCAGGCAGGCAGAGTGTTACGACTCGGCTAGGGCCGTCGGTGGACGCGTGAGTGAGTGGCCGATATCTCGCGAGGGGATCTCAGAGGATCGCTCGCGTGTTTCCACCCGGGCTGCCACCCGCCGAACCTGGCAACCCCGGATCCCGCAACAACCCTGCCTAAGTAACTGACGACTCCCCCCTCCTCCTCCTCCTCCCCTCCCCCACTTCCCTCCTTCGCTCGCGCCGCAACGCGCCCGACGCGATCAACGGCCACCCTCCCCCCCCCTTCCCTCCCTGTCCACGTGTCTCGCGCAACGGTGATTTTCATTTCCGCGGCACTTCAGTAGGAAGGATATGTATCGCGGCAAAGCGAAAATACGTGGGCCCCATCGTGAAAAAAGTCGTCGATTATTGGGAGGAAGGGAGGGGGAGGGGAGGAGAGAAACTTTGGGAGGAGGTTAGTAATTTCGTGATTTGTCTATGATTTGTTGAAGAGGAGCTCGAGTTGGGGAACGTTGAGGAGTTGGGATGTGTCAATTGACTCGTTCGAAAAATCGAGCACAAGTGTTGTAATGGTAGTTTAAATTGAAGTATTATAATGGGTGGTTCGTTCCATGTGAAAAAAAATTATGAGAGCAGGCATCCGATTTCGAATTTGGGGATTGTAGAGGGAATGTTAAAGGGAAATTGAAAGAAGTGAAGAACGAAAGAGGTGTTGAACGTAAACAATGTGATAATTTTTTATAAAATATGTTGCAATTACGAGGATAACTCTTTAAGATTCGTATCTGGTGTTGAACTTCTTGATCTTGTATCAAAGATAAAAATAAAATCAGAGAATCGCGAAGTGGGATTAGAGTCATCTTAACATGGACGAGAATGAAATTGCGTGTAATTCCAAGATCGAGGATTCGATGTTTGAACGACGATAAGCAGAATTGGAATGGATCGAACGGATCGAGAAGAATAAGAGAGACTTAGGCGATAAAACAAGGCCAATAAAAATGTGACTCTTAATACGCCAAATCGACTGACCTCGGAGCCATAAATAAAACTGACTGCACGCAATTCGTTCGGCAATCATGGATCATAAGAAATTCAGATTTTTACCTCACTAAAAAGCAAAACGTTCATTGTCAAAAAAAGAGGGAGGAGGGGAAAATGGAATTCATTATATAATACTAATTGTCCTATAAAAATATCTAATTCAATTTCATTATTATTTAATGCTAGTTTTTTTTCTTTTTGGCAACAAAAAGATTTAATTTAACAATAATAAATTTTATGTAATTGCTCTAATAAGGATTAATTTATATCTCCTTTGTAAAAACCAGTCGTTTACACTATGACTTAGGATATATCGGCTATCGCGATATTTAAATCAAAAGTAATCATCATGATGACAAGGAGAAAAGAAAATTGTGTCGTTTCTTAAGGACATCAGCTGTATCGAATCGATCGATAAGATATGAACGCAAAGATATTGAGAAAATCGATCCAACAAGATTACAAATATCTTCAAAAATTGATATTTCTAAAAAAAAAAAAAAAAAAAAGAAAATTTTCCATCTGTACACACAATGTGCCCTCCTTTAATTAAAATTTCTCATTCAAGTTCCAACTCACCCTGTATTCGACCCTTATCGCACGATCGACCACTCCGCAATATCTAACAATATTCACGATAAAAGCTGTCAGAAATTAAAGGAAAGGGAGAGGAAAAGCTACAATTAATTCGTGATCTAGATTTTAGATTCGAGAGTAATACGAGAGTCCCTTTTATCGTCCCGAATCGTACAACCGTGAGAAAATATTTACGCAGCCAACACGAATTTCATGTATTTATTAACACTTCAAGAAGACCGATATACGTATTGATAAACACATTGTAGACAGTTTACTTACGCTCAATGCCATCAGATGATGCACATGGATCATATCTGTTCATATCTGATACAAATAAAATCACTACCTATTTGTAGACTTCCTTTTTTATCTTGTATCTATAATACATACGATATTGTCGTCTCCCAAATGTAAATTGATTTTCATTTATATTATTTTCATTTTTATTTAACTCTCTTACGCACTTTTATAATCAAAGAATACAAACCAATCTTCATAGAATTTGACTCTACATCAAGCCAGATATATATCGATGCACTCAGACCGTTTCCAAACGATATCTCTCTAACTGTGAACCAGCCTTTAACTCGAGAATGTTAGCGTCGTATCGAGCATAGGCTTCGTTACCGAAGCACGCGCCCAACGGTGAAACACGATGATCGCGCTATTGACGCCGTTCAAGCAACAATAACGACTTTACGACGCTCGTTAAACGTCTCGATATACCTCTTATTGCCGTTCAACGAGAATCGAGCCTCGTTACGGGAAAAAAAAAAGTTTCTTTCGCGCAACAAGAGGCCGATATTTATCGGCAAAACGCGATATAACTCTGGGAATCGTTTTTTTTTGTTTGGTGCAAAAATGAGCGACGACGTTTTATGGAGGCCATTATAGGATAGGCTGAATAAGGCGGTGCGTATGAGCGCGGGATATTTAAAGGCAGTAAATTAGACAAGTTATTATAGTATAGGAACGAGATGGGTACGAGGATGGGTGACCATGCATGGGTTAATGGCTACTGGAATGTATCGCTTGTTTGATAATACCGGGTCTCAATGGCTTTATTCTTGTTAGAGCCACTTAAAAGCATTTTTCTTTTTTTTTTTTTTTTTTCTCCCGTTTGCCTCGAAGCTCGGTTATAGGAAAATTGTTATAGGCTCGTGGAGACCTCCGTGTTTGCAAAGATTCAATTATACGTACGGAGGATGCTACGGGGAGACGAATATTTGCTCGGGAGAAGAAGTTGGGATGGCGTTCTACCGTGTAATCGGATGTGGAAATCAGATAAGTTCAAATACAGCTGGATCCTGATCTGGATACTTTTTTTTTTTTTTTTTTTAGTCTTCTGTTCAGGTAGCTCGTTAAAATCTCGCATAGCACGCATCGGAAGATATTAAAAAAAAAAAAAAAAAAAAAGAAGAAGAAGAAACGATCGATAAGTAAATGATAAGTAAGAAATTAATACATGCCTTCGTATTTATTTAAAAGTTGGATATAAAATTTTTACGTGGAAAAAATGGATTGAACGATGATGAAGAAAATCCGAAGAGGAAGGAAACTGGTAGTATCCTTATCCAGGTCCATCTTTCCGGTAACATAATACCCCTGTGGCTGCTCGCACGTACACATTTCACCCCTCTGGTTTCCCCCTTCCACGTCATCTGCGCCCTCCCCCCTAGCTTTTAGCCTTTGAATAATATTTGAATTGCGTAATGCTCGCCTAACAGGGGCACGTTTCGAGGCCAGATGATCATCCCGCCTGATCTACCGATTATCACTCTCTTATCCAGATCGAAGAAGGTTGAAATCGGTGTATCTACCAAATTGCTACCGTGAAGTACAATTTTTGATAATTCGATTTTCTCGAAAATAAAATTTTAAATGATAAAATTTTTTCTGTTTTTTTTTTTTTTTTTTTTTTTTTATTTATTCTCACATGTAGAATGAGAATATCGCCATCTTATCGTTGATAATTCATTCGTAATCGAATTTTACAAATTCAAAAGGTAAAATTGAAAATTATTAATGATTAAAGTTCTCTTCTGATTATTGAAATGTACATTGGATACGAAGTTTCACGATATTCCAGATGTTCGAATATTATTACGACAGACAGAAAACGAGTTTCCATTACGCAATAAAATTTTTCACGATCGATGATGTGATTCTACGTGATTAATAAACGCTTCCTCGAAGAACCGGATCGAGAATGAGTTTTCATAGAACTCGCTCTTATTTATCTTCCCGATCTCGCTTTACTTTCCTTCATTGAATAAACCAAAATGATTACAAGTCGTGGATAAAATGTAAGCAATTAATCAAAGTATAATTAGCATGTTAAAATTTATTTCATTTTAATTTTCTTATTAAAAAAAAAATCTAACCTATAATTACACTATACATCTCTCTATATAAACTTAAGCTCTTTAATTAAAATGTTACATAGCTGCATTCTTGTGTATTCACCTTAACCTACATCCAGATCGAAAAGATTAAATTTCAACGAAATCCATTGGTCTCAAAATTACGAGAGACATCAATGAATATAAATCTACAACTACAAATCCGTGTACCAATAATCCGTCTAATACAGGATATTAAAGAATATAAATCGTACGTTTCGTTCGTTTCCTTAGTCGAGAAACTGGAACTCGATTGCAGGAACAGTTTCTACTCACGAACGGGCGAGACGTCGAAGAAAGGGTTAAATAACTGGAATTACGGTTCCATAGATGGTCGCAAAGATCGTGAACAATATTCGGCCGGTGTTTCCATTTGCTTTTATCCACCCGCATTATCCAACCGCCTCCCCCTCCTCTCTCTCTCTCTCTCTCTAATTTGGCCACCCTCTCTCGCTCGTTTTCACTCGTGCACAGACGTGCCACGAGTAAAATAATAATATTAAGCCAGGTGAGATTTAATCGAGGGGGGGCCTTTGAACGAAGCCTGGCGACTGGCATGCATGCCTCGAAACCGCGGCCGCATGTGTTTCACCAGGTATATTATGCACAAGCGTGAGCAGGAACGTGTGTTACGAGGGACATTACATCCGTGTTCGAGCTTTAAAGTGCGCTCACTGTCGACTAGCTCGCTGTTGGCCGCACTGTTGTAACGATTCGATCTTCTAAATAACTTCTTTCGAAAGTATAAATATTTCGTATTTATAACCGTGAAATTTTATTTCGAACGATGTACGTCTCGTCTCGTTGCGTGCCTGATTAAAATTCAAACCGATGACTCGATATACTCGTCGTGATATCATTCGCCTATTGTGAACTACGAATTAATTATAACAAAAATGATATATAGATTATTTGGAAAATCAATAATTTTCATATCGTTCAAATTTATTTGTACGTAACAAATTTTATCTATCTACGATCGTTTTAAATTGTAATTCAATATTGTCAAAGTGACAAGTATTTTTTATAAAAATTTCTTCACATATATATTATTACTTGTCAAAGTAGTATAATAGTTAAAGATTCAAGAAAATATCGAACGAGATTTAATTCTTGGGAAGAATTCACGTTATTATGTATAATAATAAATAGTACGATTATAATGAGAAAAAGAAAAAAAAAATTGAAGAACAAAAAAAATTTATAATTAAATTGCGAATACTTATTCATTTATGAAGATTTTAAATGTACGAATAATACGAATCTCTTATTATTTAAATTCCATTCCTTTAATTGTATTCCTTTTATTTTCATTCGTATGAAAATTCGCAATCTAATAATAATAAATAATAAGAGATATGAAATAATAATAAATTAGAATGAGAAGAAAAAAAATGATAAATTAAAAAAAAAAATGAATTGAACAATAAAAAAATAAATAAATAAAAGATATAATCTTATTTCTAATTTAATCCTATATCTCAGTAACTATTGTCAACATTACTTATTGTCAACATTATCTAAAAGGCAACACGATCGTGCCATAAAATTTAAGTGTCGTTAAGTATGCTAATAATTTTAATCGATGCTATTAACGTCCATCGCGAAAGAACGTCATAATTACCAATATATCGTGGTAATGCTTAATCGAAAATGATTCATTCATTCACGTCCAAGCATGTTTTCATCCGACTCTAGGATTTATCTTTTCAAGAAATGAAATCAGACATAGCTACCATAGCAAAACTGTACACGATATCCTCTGAATTAAAATTTTATAGGTTATCCTACTCTCGAATCTAATATAAATTAATGTTCCTTTTTATTTTCTTTTTTTATATTATATAATTAAAAAGTAACATCAATTTTATCTTGTATAAATATGTTTTCGATTAACCAATAACTTTCTTATTTCGTCGAAAATGCATAATTTGATTTATTATTAAGGTAGAATGTTTTCTGAAAATGCAATATTCAAGATTCCAAAAGAACTTTGATGCGAGATTAATGATCACTGATGTGTATAGAGACTTTGGTCGATTTGACGTACGGAAAATCAACGGTAGCTCTGTCCTCCCGTTAAAGTGCTAAATTGATGAATGAGTCGCGAAAACGAAATACATTTCATTGTACCACATCGGCTCGTGGACTAATAGAACTTGTCCAACTCGATTATTCGACTTGAAGATGCGTGAGCTTAATGGCCGGCGGCCAAGTTCCGGACACAGTTTTTAAGTGACTGATGTTTTCGGAATTATACGAAAAATACGTGAGATAAGATCTATTCGTGCTATTTTCTCGAGATAAATTGATTGACTTTAGTTAGATTAAGTTTGGATTTAGGTTATGTTTGAGTATAGATTAAATAGTTGTAATATCGGATAAAATATGAAAAAGATGATGAAAGGAAGAAATGAAGCAATACAGGCAAACACGAGTGAAAAAGAAGATGTGGCTCTAAGGCGGTGGCTTGACAGTTTCGTCCACCCTGTGCCATTAAGTAAATTGACTTCCACATACCGGTAGACTAAATAACAATCTAATTTCCATAATGCGTAAGTGACGCCACCTTTTTTTTATCGGAACGCATTCCTCACTATACTTTATTTCGTTGCATTTCGTTACGTCTTAAAATATTTTATATTTAATGAACACACGTGTAAACAATTTGAAAAAATTCGTATCAAATTTTAAGATTAACTTTGTTCGAATTTATGATCCAATCGATATCAAATATGTAGAAGAAAATATCATACGTATACGTAAATTGAGAATGATTTCAAAATGAGGATAGTGGTCAGTTGATAAATATGGGCTAAATAAAATGACGTAACAACTTACCCTTGACAACAGCTGATGCAATTTGATCCAGATTTAGGGCTTAACCCTATCGGTCTTCGATAGAGGGTGGACAGGTTCACTTCTTAGAACACTGACCAGCTGTGTTGGACAACAAACGGCTGTCGATTGGTGGACCAAAGTTGAGTTTCATTCTGTACAGATTACTTTTAACCTCTTTCTTGCACACGTTTGACACGTACGAAGGGCATTGACATCTGTAATTAAGATGAAAAGGAATTTAAGTTAGATACATTAATTCTTCTAAGTCATATAAATTAATAATAAAACATCTATCTAATTATTAGAATTTTATAACTTAAATTAATTATATGTCGTAATATTTACGACAAAACTTTTGTTTGCTAACAATTTTTATTACAAATTGTTTTTTCGTATTATGGTTAGAAAGAGAAAATAAAAGAGAAAAATCTTTATAAATATAAAATATAAAAGGAATTATTTGAAATATGAAAAATATACTTTGAATGTACCTTGCAAAAAAGTTTTTCAAATAAAAAGAAGAATTTAAATTTGTTGCAGCAGCAAAGACAAATCCAAATGTTGGAGAATATGGCGGCAGCACTGGTGGGAATGCGTCTCCGTACGCCACCACGGCGAACGGTCCAGTGAACTGTCTTACCGGTGGACCTATGGCCGGTATTGCAGGTAGTTTCAACAATACCGGCCGAACCAACTTCACGAACAAGCAACTTACAGAACTCGAAAAAGAATTCCATTTCAACAAGTACCTGACTAGAGCGAGACGTATTGAAATCGCGTCAGCATTGCAACTAAACGAAACACAAGTGAAAATTTGGTTCCAAAACAGAAGAATGAAACAGAAGAAGAGAATGAAGGAAGGCTTAATACCAGCTGAGAGTACGACTATAAGCTCACTCAGTGGCGCCAGAAGTTCAAGTAATTCGCCAACTAGTTCTTCGAGTCATGAAACCAGTGGACTCGGTTTATCTAGTTTTACAAGCGATAACAGTCGGGAATCGCCACCTTCTTCCTCAAAAGATTGACGCGTTTCTTGCTGCAGCAACGAACGTTTATATAGCCTACGACTTAACGATGATTGGTGAAAACTAAAAGAATAAAAAATGTTATTTTAAATCGCGTGATTTGAATTTACATTGACTTGAATTTTCTTGCTGCAGCAGCAATAGTAATTATAGTATTTCCAATTTTACTAGAACGAAATCATTATAATAATATATAATAGTCTTTTGGCGATCTTGAAAATTATCAAAATTAATCGAACATAGATTAGAAATTGAACGATGTATGTACTACTTATGTGAATTATTTATTTTTGATTGAGTTATATACTGTAAAAACAGTGTGAACAGAATTCCCGAAAGGTTACCATATACCTCAGTTTGTGTAAATGGTATAACAATATTTATATATAATTATAAATACCAATGATATTGATCACGGCATATTAAAAAAAAAAAAAAAAAAAATTACGAAGCTATTTTTCTTCTCTAGATGCTTATGATTAATGGCATCTAGAAAATAGTCTTTTTTTTGATGAGAACAATTATTGTTTGATGTTATCATCCTTATATTAAAATTATTTTAAATATTTTTTATTCATTTGTTCTTATTTTATCTATTATTAAATTTTAGCACTAATTAATTTTCATACCAATATGAATTGCTATAAAAATTTACATTTTCAAAGAAAGAATTAAATTTTGATAAAAATAAAAATCTTCGTAAGCGTATTATTATTGTATTATATAATAGATTATAATTTATTTATAATGATAACATAAGAACAATAGTTGTGCTCCCAATTTGAATATCTTCTGTATGTATATGTACATAAAATCTAATGCAAATCTTGTACGAATGTCAATGCACATCACTATACAATAAAATATCATTAAAGTAAACAATTATACAATAAGAAAAAAATATCATTGTAGAAACTTTAAATTTATCGAAATGTATAAAATAAATAAAAAAATAATGAACTGTATGATGAATTTTAAAATAAATACAAGATTTGCATTGATTCTATTTAATTTAATTTGACCATTTAAAAATTAACGAATTAATATAATCGTAGTTATATAGATTATATTGTGATTATTAAAAATTCTGTACCTAAAATGAATTTGGATATAATAAATTGTGATTATTCTGTAGTGTTATTTAGAATTCTGTAGAAAGAATAAAATATTAATACATTACAAAAGAAAACTTATAAAATTCACTCCGAAATAAAATGATTTAACTAATTATGATGTTATTTTTTTATAATGTATTCACTATTTCAATTCACTATTTCACAAACCCAAATTCAATGCACATATTTCTTAATGCACATACACTTTTTTTCATATTTGAAATCTAGGCTGATCAACTTTATAAATATATATACTGAATTTTAAATATGTTCAAATATTAAAAATGATTGGTAACACTGCAATACTATTAGGTAATAGTTAATAAAATTAAAAAATCTATGAATACAATTCAATGCATAATATAAATAAGCATAGAAATATTTCTGAAAAAGTAATTTCAAGAAAATTATTTTTAAAATCTTTTTAAATTTTTATTAAATTTTGTGATTGAATTAAATATAATTTCTAAACCTACCACTCTAAATCATAGAGGGCATATCAAACATTCTTTTATGCAATCGATATTTTAGAACATAGAATATGAAGTTCCATGTTTAATCTATCGTATATTTCGTTTGTGCCATAACCTTCAAATTAGGTAAAACAAATTTTCAGAAGTGAATATGATCGAGTAATTAACAAAAAATGGAAGAAACTGACGATTTGGAGGACAGTATAAAAATAAGTGCCAATGAATTATTGGCTTTCCAAAGAGAATTAAAACAGGAGAAAGAACTTCTTCAAAAGATATTAACAAAAATTGATGATCAAGTACACAGATTACAGGTAAATATGATATTTAAAATTGTTTTTTTCATTTGTTTTAATACAAAAACTATTTTATATATAATATAAAATATTTAGGTGGAACAACTTCATTTATTGGGCCTAATGAACAAATCATTAAAAGGCACAACAGAAAATTCCTCCTCATATGAACCTGAAAATGATATTCAACAAGACTCTACAAACAAATCATTAGACTTGTCTGTAGCATCAGCCTTTAAACATTTTGAAGAAGAAATTGAAGATGAAGATGATATTTAGAACGACGAATAATTTTTGTAACTTAAAAATATTAAAAACTATACATTTTATACATATTGTTATTAATAATTTTGTCAGTTTGATAAATTTGTTTACAACTGAAAAATATATTAATTCATTTTATAAATATACTTCATATTAATAAATTTCTGTCTTAATACATTTTACCTTATTAACAATTAAATAAAAGTACAAAAACAGCATTAAATAAAAACCAAACTATTATTATTTCTTAAATCAAGGAGTTGAAGAATTGTCTATACAAATTTGATGTACTGGCAATGATAGCTTTCAACTACTATCGTTTCAGAGAATATGAAACATTTGTACTTAATTAGTGGTGTGTAATTTAAAATGTCTAAATATTTATATGCTTTACGATGGATGACCTTGTTGTCTTAAAGGATTTGCATCTTCAGTAAATGATGGTGGCTTGAATTGTTCTGCAGAGAGACGAGTAATAAATATTCCTACACCTTCTATTAAAGCCAATAATACTCCTCCAATAATTGCACTACCAGCCATGGCTGGTAAACCATTTCTTGCTGCTAATATTCCACCTGTGGCTGCTCCACTAATAATGGAATTCCATGGATCTTCTTTTTTTCTAAGATGAACCAATGTGCAGTCTATAGTGGAAAACATACCACCCCATAATGCAAAGTTTCCAGCAATAATAGGAGACTTTTGCTTAATAGCTGTAAGACTTCCTAAAACTCTTTTGTTTATTCCACTGGGTGCATTACGAAAACCTTTAATAGTTTGAAATACTGCTCCCCCAATGGCACCCATGGTAAATGCACCACCACAGTCATCTATTATACGCCATGGGCATGGTTCTCTTGCGTATTCTTCCATTCCTCAATTGATAATCTACAAAAAAAATATTTCTTAATATTTAAAATCATAAAATAATTATTAATAATAATAATAAAGTTATTATTATTTTATTGTTTATATATATATAATATATATAAAATAATTGATATTATGATATAATAAATTATATATATTACGAAAATATAATTAGAAAAAAAATATATTTAATAATTAATAAAAAGTGACTGTAAATATTTAATCTATATGCATATTAAATTTTTTGATTCAATATAAAGTGCAATAAAGATGCTTATTAAAAATAACCTTTAACCACATAGTTTGTTATAATTTTTATTCTGATAGTAATATTTTTTTAACACTCTATTCATATTTATTTTGTTCATATAAATATATTACGTAAAAATTATGTATTTATATGTACCTATATAAAGCACAGAAAGAAATATAAGGAAAATAATGTATGGCATAAATGAGGTTATGTGATTAATTTTCGTGCATACTAAAATAACATGTGTATAACAATTCGAAATATTGGTGTACGTTCTTTAAAAATCTTATTCTCGTTACAAATATAAAAATTCTTTACGTATTTACCATAAAATTCGTTTCAAAATTTCTGCTACTGAGGAAGAAAATGCCTCGAGCACGACACTGTGGTGAATGTAACTACGTTAATGAATTTTCATACAAATAAAAGTTCTTTATAATTATATAAAAATAAAGAGATATTTTACAATTTAATACAATTAATAATTTTTCAAAAAATGATTTAAATGTTTTTTATGATTATTTCATAAAATCATTTCGTTTTTGCACTTTTCATGATTATATTTGAGTTCATTTGTAGAAACGATGTTTTAATTCCGATTCACATTGCGTGATATATAATATATTTCGAAATAAAATTATGTACGAACAGATTCTAATACGCATATATTTCGTCATAAATAACCGCATAATCAATAATATAATTCGAACGAATAATCAATGACAAGTTTTATGTACTCGATTTAAATATACGGCTTATAGTTTGTTGTGCATACTAGACTGGCACGTTTAAATGATAGTTTAAAATAGAATCAAGCGGACAATGTCCAAAAATAAATCATACTTTCTGTTATATAGTTCTGGATATCCAGTTGTTTTTGCGTGATAGAAACTTTCATTATTTAAAGAAAACATCAATTTTTAAGACTTAACCCATTGTATCTTACCTCTTTTGGTAATTAAAAAATTGATATTATTAACGTACTTCAAGATTCATAACTACGAATTCAAATACTAGAACTAAATTTAAATAAAAAAATTTATACGTAAAAATTTAGATTCCGATCGCGTGCACGCATTACCTAAACAATCAAATCATAAAAATGAAATATATATATATATATACATATATTATAATATTATTTTGTGCATAAGAAAATTGTTCGGCCAGTAATTTAGATAACAATGAACACAGTGAAAATATATCAGAAACGAATTCGTTTTTCCTCTGTTTTTCATGCTACGTATGCATATGTATAAAAGTGACGTTTCTTGCAGATAAAAATGTCAGACAATAAGACGCTCAAATCAGTAACTGATCAACACTCCTATCTATCTGAATCGGCAACGTCCATAACAGATAATGTAAAAAACGAAAGTGAGATCGAAAATTCAGTCTCGTTAACAGAAGAACAAAATGCACCGATGCAAGATACGGAGTGTAAGATGTTGTGCAACACAGAAAGCGAGACCTCAGAAATGCCTATTAAAGAAATAAATCAGACTGTCGTTGAAGATATAGAAGTTGCCTATGAAACCTCGCTTGCAGAAAAAGAAGTGAAGGATAGTGTAACAACCGTGAAGCAAAATGAGCAACTGGTAAAGTTAAAGTGTATATGAATTAAAATAAAATAATATTCGGAATAATTTTATTATCTTCCGGTTATTAATTTTATTTTCAATTTATTTTCCAGTCAAATGTCCAACAAACCATAGGCGCAGGAGACACTTGTTTCGCTTTCTCGCCAAAACAAAATGAAAATAACGATTTTCAGAAGATAGACGAGAAAATATCATTTACTTCAGAGATGGAACAGATTAAATTAGATGATCAGGGCACGACTGAGAATGAACTTACGATATTGAAATTGAAAGACGAAGTTTCGGTATGAATAAAAAAGATCGATCGATACTAATCCTATATCTTTTAATGGAATAAGTAATTGTAATAAGTTTATAATTTTCTGTTTCCAGAAAGTTTCTATCGAACGAGATTCTTATCAAAAACAGTTGGAAAGCACGGAGAAAAAGCTAACCGAATTGCAATCGTCCTATGATACCCTGATGAAGGGTGAAGGTAACGAGGTGATGCTTCGTCGGATGGTAGATCAGTTGAAAGGCAAACTTATTCAGACCTCGTTGCAATTAGAGGATCGTATCCGTACTGTAGCTAATCAAGAGAAACAGATTAGCGCATTGAACAGTCAAGTGGCTTCACTGAAAGAAGTAGAATCTCTTACTAGAAGTCTGTTGCAAATTCGTAACATGGAAGTGAAGCATTTGCAGGTAAATGGATATGAGATATCAGATCGAAATGATTATTATTTTTAAATTAATTGTATTTGAACGTTTAAGATTTTTGGAGAAGGAGAAAAAAAAATTAATTTAATTCTTGTGCAATGATATAGGCAGAAGTGGATGACATGGAGGCTCGAATTTCAGAGGAACGAGAACGATACAATACAATGATTAGTAAAATGGATGCTGCGGTGAAATTGAATGCGGATTTAAAGAAAGAATACGAGACGCAACTTTGTCTGTTCCGAGATTTACGAGAAAAATACGAGGAAAAGGTTTCATTGTTATCGGAAGAGAAACGGGCGCTTGAGGCTAACGTGCAAGCAGATTCTAAATAAAAATGTGCCTTAAACTGTTTTATAATTAATACAATTTGTATAAAATTAATAAAAATAGATAAAAGATAAGATTTACAGTTGTATTCTTATTTCTTTTAACCAACTTTCTTTATTAAAAAAAGAACGAAGTTCTAAATATCAATATTTAACGTTTTAATAATAATTATTTGTTACAATGAAATTGTTTTAATTATAATATATATAAAGTTACCACCACTTACCAACAGTTTCCGTGGTGTAGTGGTTATCACATCCGCCTAACACGCGGAAGGTCCTCAGTTCGATCCTGGGCGGAAACATTTATTTTTTTCTATAAAAATAAAATTTGATATAATAATTAAATAAATTAGTAAAAAATTTTAATTAAAAAATACTTAATTATGAAAATTTTTTTAAATATTAATTAATTTTATATAATACTTAACAATAATATATGAAATATATAAATTAATATTACAAATTATTTACATGAAAATAAATTGAATTATTGAGCTAAATATATGTAAGAATTCAATAAAAAAAATCTTATATTTGCAAATCTTTATCGCAAATTTGCGGTAATTTCCAAATGATCAATACTCACAAAGATACAACTAACAATAAGTACATACATGCTTGATATATTACAATTAAAAAATATATTTTAATCTATAAAATGATTATAGTAGTTTCTATTCGACTAACTTTTAAAAAAATGTTATAAAACATTAACCTGTTAATCGAGCAAAAAACGAAGATAACTTGTCATTTGATTTGTCAATTTTTAACTCTTTTACAGCTCGAAACATATTATATGCGAAAAATGCCACAATCGATTTGATATATATATTTTCACAAAGAAATTTATAAAATTATTTTCATGAATAATTTTTTTATTAATTATTAATGATTCGATACGTTGATATAGCAAAAGAATTAACACTTACATCTAATTATTTATCTGTCGATTTTTAATTTTTTAATTAACACATTTTATTAGTGATTTGACTAAAATTAATTTTCCAATTATTCATACTAAAAAAAGTTTTTGATTAATTATCAATTTGATGGAAAATTTAATTTCTATAACAATAGAAAATTATCCAAAAGGAATATAACTCAAAAAAATACAATAATGATAAAAAGTATTACATTTACAAGATGATTTATTAACATGATTGACTCAGAAAGATAAATAAGGAAGAAAAAGAACATAAAAAATATGATATAAATATTATGATAAACGGTGATTCCCAAACGAGTACTGTCAAGCCTTGAACTTTTATGCATATAAAGATTAACACATCAAAATATGTATAAATACCGTGGAAACCGCTATGTTCAGTATCAGTATCTCTTCATCCATAGAATTAGTGTCAGTTGAATAACTATTGGTAAGAAATAATTATATATAAGAAATAATTCTTAAGAAACACATTGAAAAATATACAATCTATGATTTCATTAAAAATCACTTATTCTGTACGATTAATTGTTAAGTAACGATTTCATTATTTATTTTCTTCTCTTTTGTTTTTATCCAGATAATCATGAAGAATTTTGCCTTAGCAATTCTTGTTATTACCTTTATAGTCACGGTACTTGGGAATAACAACCCAGATCCGCCTACTCAACCTGCGGTAAGATCAAAGACATATTTTCGAAAAAAAATTATTTATAATTTGATAATTATCAAATGTATTATAATTTAAACAAATTTTTAATTTAATTTAATTATGAAATAAAAAGTTTTTTTTATTTTAACATAATCAACGTAAATTAAGAAATACGGCGATAAATATTTAAATATTTATGAATTTTGTTGAAGAATTAATAATATAATAGTATCCTGTAACAAATTTTATATTAATTTTTATATATAGCGTATTCGTCGTGAAGCAGAACCGGAAGCTGAACCCGGTAATAATCGGCCAATATATATTCCACAACCAAGACCACCTCATCCGGTAAATATTTAAATATAAACTATGTTACAAATTTAAAAATATTATAATTTTAATAATAACATGATAATATTTTTTTTCAAATTTTATATTAATTTCCTATTAAAAATTATAAATTATATCTATTTAATCTTATTTTTTAGCGAATCTAATTTATGAAGAATATGAAGCAGTTCACATGAAATACCAAATATTTAATAAAATATTTTTAATCAATTCATTATAAAATATTGTATTTAATGTAATGTAATTTTAAAATAAAATTGATTTTATTATTATAAAATCTATAAAATGTTATATTTACTAATCCTTATTCAAATAAAATTCCATATGCATATAAAAATTATTAATATATGTATATATAAGAATAAATATATTACTTTTATATCAAACAGTATTTTTATACAAGTTACAATTATTATATATACAAACTTATTCTAATAAAACAACGACAGGTGCATCATCTTCAGTTTCTTCTTGCAAATTAGAAAAATCCCATAAGAATTTTGTTGATAATCGTTCGCTAAATCTTTTTGTATAAGATTTCAGACGTCCATCTAATTCAGAATTGATTTCAATATTCGCAAATAGTTTATGTAAATTATGATAAATAAAATTATTATTAGCTACAATATCACAAAGTATATCTTCAGGTACATGCATTAATTGAATCTCTATTGCTTTCATAAATTCAACATAAATAGCACGACGTTGCGAAATTGCACAATCAGCACCACAAATGAGAGAGACAAGTTTTTTCCAATGTTCAAAAGCATCAAGACTTTGTCCAACAAGAAAGCAGACAAATGTCAATTGCATTTCACCAATTAACTCTATAGGACTAGAAAAATATTATTAAATATAATAGAATATAAATATCTAATCAAATATTTAACCAGTTGCTTACAGTGTTAAATCATTAAGAATAATATCCAATACATAACTTGAATCCAAAGAATATTTTGTAATTTCAGTTGGTGATGCTCCATCTGGATATTGTTTGTTAGGTATTTTAGAAAGTCGAAGTTCTGTACCAGGTTTAGGTTTCATATCAGGAAGAAGTTCATCTTCTTTTTCTTCTACAGTAATTCCACTCCTTCTTTTTTTTGGTTTTGATTCTCCACCTCTTGGTCTTGTAGCATCAGAACAATATTCTAATTCTAAAGCTGATCTTACAAAGCTAAAATACAAAATTTTATTAACAATTATTAACAAAAAAATAAATATAATATTAACAATTAATATTTACAATTAACTTATGAAATTAACATACCCACATATAGGTGAGCAACGTTCGACAAGAGAAGGAGTAATATGATTTGTTAAATCTTTCCACTGTTTCCATATATCATAAGGATAACATCCTAAAAATTTATCCAAATCTTTCAAATTCTTCTTCAATCTTTCAACTGTCTCTTGTTCTACAACTTTAAATAAAAAACAAAATTTTATTAGTAAAAAAATCTTATTTTTTTTCATGCTTTTTAATGCTCATTATATTAAATATTATTATCATACTTTCTGAACTCAAATCTTCTTCTGTTGTATCCCAATGTTTAACTAAAAATTCAGATTTCTTAAATGTATGAAAAAAACCAACTTTTGGTTTTGCTTCTCCAAATTCATCTATAGCACTTTAAAAATAAATGTATGAATAAGATGTATAAATACTAGGAAAAAGAAAAATAACAAAAAACTATACAAACTTACCTATAATGGATATAATGAAAGCCTGGTGGAATCATTTTAATACCTTTAAATTTATCTGCTGTGTTCCATGATTTTAAATCTATTCCAAATTCTGTGCCACTGGGTACATTTAATGTAATTAACGTAGCACCTTCAAAAAAAAGTCTTTGTGCCAAAGTTTGATCCATTTCTATTCCTTCACTTCCCATGATTGGTTATTAAATTATAAAATTCGATTTATGATTATTAAAACTATAAACCGAATCTGTTTTTTTACATATATAAATTTTATATGTATATTATGTATATATATATTATTTATTATTTTATATATTTAAAATAATGATGTAATATTTTTTTCATTTGATAATTACAATAGTTTTCGAAAATTGTATAAAACACACACAGAAATATTATAGACATCTAATGGTGAATAAATGGAATTAATTAATCCATAAAAATAACAAAATTTAAATTAAAGCTTAGATTTTTAAAAACTTTGAGTTAAAAAATTTGAGATTAATTATGTCTAATCTAAATATTTTCTTTAATAATTTAATTAACTTATTCAGAAAATTTTTCAGAAAGTACATTGTGGTGTCATCTAACGGTGAGCAGATTAAACTAATTGTCATATAAAATAAAAAATTATGAATTCTAAAACTTCTACGCAAAATTTAACTTTTAAAAACTTAAATTAAAATTCAAATTTTCAAAAATAATTTGAGATTAATTATAGTCCAATATTCTCTCTTTATCTATGATAATTATAAATTTTTAAATCGTAAAAAATATATTAAATATTTTAATTTTTTATATATATGAATATTTCAAAACATGATATAAAAATGTTATTTAAAGTTAGGTCTATTCTATACTTTATCTGTAATATCACTTTTATAGTGAATCTAGGGATTCTAACCGTTACTGTAAACATTAAAACGAGTGCCGGATAAACGTGTTTTTGATCGGCGTTCAAAAATATAAAAAAATCTAAAACAATACTGATTGTCATTTTAGTTAACATGGATAATAATCTTCCAGATTTAAAATTAAATGAAACTGCCAAAGTGAGTATTTTATTCTTAAAAGTTTTTTCTTTTAATTAACATTTAATAATATTAAGTATTTAGGTTAGTTTAAGGTTATATAGAGACCTATAAATTTAATATTATGTTTTATTTAAGAAAAATTTAATATAAATTGAAAGTTTAACATTGCATTTTATATATGCAAATTTATATTTTAACTATAAATTAATTCTAAACTATAAATTAAATATTTTTCAAAGAGATTTTTTATTTGTTATTATTCTATTCCTAAATCTTTTAGGTTTTAGTCATAAATATTTATTTTATTGCAGGAAGGTATATCTGATTTAGACAAATTAACACAGTCGTATTTGTTGTTAAAAAAAAGAATATCTGGAACTCAGTAAGTTATTTAACATATCCATTTTAAATTTTTCTTTCATATGCAATACTTATTTCAATTATCTTTTTAATTAATTTATTTATTTTTAGTGAATTAATTAAAAGATATAATGATAAGTTAAAAGAATGTGATAGATTAAAGCAAGAGGTAGATACATTAAATAAACAAACAAAAGAAGTAACATGTAACTATAATTCTAGTTTAGCAAAAGTTATTAAATTAGAACTTGTAAGTAAAAAGATATATATATTTGTAAAATGTTTTTTTTTCTGGATAATGTTTTTATTACTTAGAATCATTAATATTTAATTTATAGCAAAATACGGAGTATAAAAAAAACATTGAAACTTTAAGTACACAAGTAAATGATCATAATATAAAAACATCAGCTGATCAACAATACATACAACAATTAATCTGTAAAATAAAAGATATAGAAGAAAATCAGAATGACAAAATAATGCAATATGACTTAGAAAAATCTTCACTTCAAGGTATGTTATAATGCAGATTTAAATATTTTTTTAGAAAAAAAAAAAAATTAATTTTTTTTTGTAGTAAGAATCAAAGAATTGGAACAAGAATTAAAAACTGTTAAAAAATCATACGATATGAAAATGAAAAAAATAGAAAAGAAATTATCTACAGAATGTGAAAATAGTAAGTTAAATAAAATTAAAAATTTATAATTTTTAATTAATATGATTAATGATAATATTAATAATATTTTTAAATGATGTAATCTGATTTCTTGTTATAGAAACAAAATTAAAAGATATTGGAATCAATACAACATTGACTAAAGATATAATAATACAAAAACCAGAAGTTACTGAAAAATCTGTATTAACTGACGAATTTTATAATGTCAAAAGTGATTTATATCCTATATTTTGTAGCAATTGTGAAATTCTATTAGAACCGCCTCCTCTTGAGAAAATATGTAAAATTATGAGTAATTCATGCCCAAAATTGATTGAAAAAATCTCATCTCCACCAAAAAGATCTATATCTCCTATAGAAATATCAATAGGTAAGATATTAAATTGTTTAATATGTAATGATGGATTTATAATAATTTTATATTTATATACTTTTAGATGTAAATAATGAACAATGTAAAACAGAAAATTTACCAATATTGTCAGATACTTCTTCTTCACATTCGCAAAATCAGAATAGTCATATAAATTTTAATTCTACAAATCTATTACCTTCTCATACAATTTCATTAAATCACACAGATTATTGTAATACTTTTTCTCCGACGTCGAATTTAATAAATCAAAGTGCTCATTATATCGAATCGAAATCAATTAATTCTTTATCATTAACAAATTCAAATACAACTAATAATAATACTTCTTGTGCAAATATTATAACAACAGAATCTTCTTTGGCGATTATTTCCTCATTACAAAAGAGGATTGATACATTAGAAAAGAAAGTAAAAAGAAAATTGAATAAAAAAAAATCTGATCAGAGTAATAATTGTTGCCATAACCATTATCCAAATACTCTGTCCATGTATGATATAAATAATTCCATGCAATTCAATTTCATTGAATTATGGAAGAAAATGATTGATTTTTCTGAAAATAAGAAAAGAAAAAACATTGATATGCACAAGACATTGAAAAAATACAAATTATTTCAATTAAAACGTAAAAGATTGCGAAATACATCTACCAATTCTTGGATAGTTGAATCAATTGGAAAAAAAATTGAACAAAGTCCCGTTCGGAAAAAATCTAAAAAATGTAAATATCGATATTCTTCACTTTTTAATAAATCGGACAATTCGTTAAATAGAACTAAAGATTTAGAAAAATCAAACAGTGAATCTGATGCAGACTTTGGTGAATTTAACTCTATCAATAGTAAAACAAATATTAATTCGGAATGTGAAAGCATATCGCATATAGAAAGTTCTAGTTCATTATCGAATTCTAATAATACAGATATAAATGAAGTTGAAATAGAAACAGTACAAAATACAGTTGAATGTAGCAAATCAGTAGGAGGTGAAACCGATTCAGGAATATTATCGGATTCTATTGAATCTAGTAAATTAATACAACTTGAAACGGATACTGAAATATATTCGGAATTAATAGAACAGAAAAATCTGACAGAAATTAAATCTTCCACAGAAAATGCATCA